CTTCTCCAGCTGGGGTCAGGGGGCGGAGTCAGATACACAGCGCTGCTGTGAGGGGTGTCCATCTGGGGTCAGAGGTCAAGGACACAAACAGCACACACACACACATCTGTACTCGCATAATACACCTCAGCGAAAGAGATCAAGGAAAACCTGATTCCTCGTTATATCACCCCGTCATTATGTTGATTATTAATTAGTGGTGCAACGGATCACACGAAGTGTCTGCTGAAGGATACGTGTCTCCTGTAGGGTCTGCTGGGAGAGACGAAGTGCCGGTCCCTGTGCACTCGCTCCACCAGACCATGATGCCGAGTGGAGCGACTGGAGTCCAGCGGAGAGTGGAACGAGCCCTCCTGAGACACACACACACACACACACAGGGGCGTCAGATCCGTGAGGAGCTGCCGATGGCACAGGATTCAGTCCTGACACACACACACACACACACACCTGCAGTTCTGAGGCGCTCCTGCCGATCTGGTTGACATTTGGCAGAGATCCGCCGTAATACGGGCCCTGAGATCTGGCCAGTCGGACCTTCTGCGCCTGGACCTGCACACAAGCACCAGAGCAGCGTTTCAACCCTGATATCCCACAATGCAATGTGCTCCACTTGACCTTCCATTTACAGGGTGGAAAATGGACAGGAAGTCTTATTACCTGACATTTACTTGAATCATAATTTGACATCAAAAACTTACAAAAAAATTGGGGTTTCCCAAACTGGGGTTCGTGATTAAATGAAAATAGTCAATTTAATTATATCATAATGTCAAATAAAAATTTAAAAATTAAAACCAACAAACAGAAAATTCATTAACTAATGAAAAGGTCAAATGAATCATTTTAAAATAAAAATCATCAAAAATATGTTACTAAAAATTAAATTATAAAAAAACGTTAAATTAAAACGAACAAAGAATTTTGAAAAAAATCATCAAAATAGAACACTTACTAAAAGTTAATTCAATTGTTAAATGTCAAATTAAAACAAAATAAAAAAACAATAACTAAAAAAAATATTAAATCATAAAAGTGGATTAATAATTTAAAAACACTAAAAACATTAACTAAAGGTAACTTAATGATATAAGTGTCACATTACAAAATATATATATTAATTTTAAAATTGAAAAAAATTCTATTTTAATATTATGAATATGAATAAATAATTTTGAAATAAAAACATCTAAATTAAGTACTTAAAGTTAATTAAATCGTTAAATGTCAAATTAAAATAAATATTAATTCTGTAGTTTGAATCATTTACTAAAGGTAACTTAAAAAAATATATATTAATTTTAAAATTGAAAGAAATTATTTTTTAATATGAATAAATTATTTTGAAATAAAAACATCAAAATGAAGTACTTAAAGTTAATTAAATCGTTAAATGTCAAATTAAAATATTTTTTAAATAAATAAAAATCTAAAAACGTTTGATAGAAATCAATGATATCATAAAAATGTCAAATTAAAACAAACAAATAATTTTGGAAAAAAATTATCAGAATAAAACACTTACAAAAAGTTAATTAAATCGTTAAATGTCGAGAATTAAAATAAATATTTAAAAGTCAAAATAAAACACTTAATAAAAATGAATGAAATAAAAAAAAATTAAAATACATTTTACAAATAAAAACATTCAAAATGAAACACTTACTAAAAAAGATGAAATATTTTGTTTTGTTTTTGACAACATGTGACCATTACCCACGTCAGAGAACTGAACGTGAATGTGTTGTTAATTATTGGAATAAATCTCAGGCCAAATGGGTTCGGCTGACAAAACCAGTTTGGGGTTAACAATGCGAGGCATTTCCTGCCCGGCTTAAATAAGGGTTAACGTCGGTTTAACCCTGGGTTAAATATACAGTGTGAAGCAATATGTGCTGAAGATACACCATCCAACATGTTTACACACGCATGAGCAAAAGAGCATGTTTCAGGGTCAGAGGTCAACCTAATCACATTACCCACAGTTTCCCCATCCAGAGAGAAGTGTGTGTTGACATTCGACCGCACACACACACACACACACACAGTCTGAGATTTCCCAGCTGCTCTGAACAGACATAATTAAATAAATATTTTTTTACCATGTTAAACTTTGATTAGTCACTCCGTTATCTGACCCTCTCACCGTCGGTCGCGCACATCCGCCATGTTTGTAGTTTTTTAAAACGTTTTACTCATGCTTGTAGTTCCTCCTCCACAGCGCAGTGGATTGTGGGTAATATCAGCTGTTATAGTGAGCACGGATCCACACTTCGAGAAGTCGAGACATTGAGACGCAGGGCAAGACTTGCCACAGGAGATCTGAGCGTGACCTGTGACCTTTAACCCTCGCAAACACACGTCAAGAGCATCATCGTGCCTGAGAGACGGACACTGACGAACGACAGAATCAGACGATCATCTATAATCAATCGAATCAAAACACTTATTATTAAATCATAATAATTAACAAAAAATAAATAAATCATGACCTGGGCTCTAACCCTTGACCAGCCCTGGTCATTACATGACCTTTGCACTTTGACCTCACCGGTGGAGATCAATCATCTGAATAAATAAAAAATAAATTAAGTGTTTTATTTTGATTTAATTTTTAAAGGATTTATTTTAATTTAACATATTCATGGTTTGAGTTTTGGTAAGTGTTTTGTATTGAAAGTTTTTCATTTTAAATTATTTATTTTAATGTAGCATTTTATGATGCAATTATTTTAGTAAGTGTTTATTTTTATTTCTTACTAAATGCGTAATAATTCATCATAAAATGCTAGATTAAAATATATTAACATTTAGAATTAAAAACAAAATAAAAAAACATACTCAAACATAAACCATAAAAAATGTAAAATTAAAACAAATCATTTAAAAATAAAATACATCTAAATAATCACTTACTGAAACTTAAATTATAAATATTTTTAATTAAAATAAAAACACTTACTAAAACATTTTTTTTTAATCAGATTCATTTGAAAATAAAATAAAAATAATACACTTACTAAAAAATTCCATTATAAAATGCTAAATTAAATTAACCATTTTATATAAAATAATAAAATAATAAATAAAACATTCCGTCATTTAGCAGACACCTTTGTCCAAAGCGACAAGTTTAAAACTTACTAAAACTTAACATTTTAAAATATAAAATAAAAACCAAATCAAAATAATACACCAACTAAAAAATTACATTTTATTTGATAGCCTGAATATCATTATTCCGATGATGGACCTCCAGTGATGAGGTGAAAGTGCAAAGGTCAGGGTGACCAGCCCACATCAGCTTCACTGGACCAGCTCTGACAGACAGACAGCAGTGAGTTATCAGTGACATCACACACACACTCTCTCTCTCACACACACACACACTCAGTGTTACCATGGTACATGGCCAAAATACCATCACGCATTCTGGCAGTGAACCTAGATAAAGTGAATTAGACATCAGACTGTACAGCTGATTTCATGTGTGATGTTTAGACGAATTCACTGAGATTTGTGTGTGTGTGTGTGTGTGTCATGCTAATCTGCTGCTAACCGCTTCCTGTCTGACAGACTAATCAAACTCACACACGCATTTAACATTCTTTTAATGTCGTTTACCGTCATAATGGCTCTTCTAACATCTACCATATAATTAAAGTCTATTTGACGGATTTCCTTTATTCCATTTTCATGATAACAGCGTTATTGTCGTTAGCTTCCGTTAGCTAGCGCGCTACTACCTGCTCGCGCGCGCTCCTGCCAGCCGCCGAGCGCGCTCACGAGACGAGAGTAAAACACGGATTTGACGCTTTTCAGCGGGAACGTCGAAATCGCGATCCGGTTCCCGTGAGTGTGTGAGTGTGTGTGTGTGTGTGTGTGTTACCCGGGTGGAGGTGAGGTCCATCATGACCTGCTGGAACGCCGCGGTCTCCTCAGCCTGTCTCTGCGTGTGGAGCGCGATCTTCTCGCTGAACTTTCGCGGGTTTGAGGGACCAGAACCGCCGTGATTCGGTCCCGGTGCCGGTCCGCATGATCCCGCGGAGGACATGATGATGATCGAACCCAGAACTCACATTCAGACCCGAAGAACCGACATACACACACTTACTGACAGAGAGAGACAGACGAGCCCTCTAGGGGCACGAGCGAGACTTACACGCGCACACACACTGACTGTACACACTCAACATTCAAACTCAACACACACACACACCAACATTTTAACATTCAAACTCAACACACACACACCAACACTGACGGACTTACAGCACAACTAGTATTGAAAATAGCGTTTTAATATTTTTCTTTTTACGATTTAAGTTTGAGTAAGTTTTTATTTAGATTTTTTAAAACCATTTTTATGGTTCAAGTTTTAGGTTGTTTTTCATTTTAAATAATTTATTTAAATTTTGCATCTAATTATTTTAGTAAATTATTCATTTTAATTTTGCATTTAATTATGTAATTATTTTAGTAAGCGTTTAATTTCTTACTAAAAAAATATTATTTATATAAAATAATTTTTTAGACCTAAAAAAGTAATGGAAGTTAATAAAAAAATATACATTTAGGAACATTTTTATAATAAATATATATTTTCCAAATACTCCACACTTTTGCCTCATTTAGTATGCGCGGTTCTATGAATATGCAAATGAGCCCCGCCTCCACTCACTCACTCAGAGATCCACTGGTTGACGATCACACGTTGATCTGATTGGTTACAAGGTCGTTTGTGACGTCAGAAACACCAGCGATTTCAAACCGTGTTTTTGAGACTGTCTTTGGTTCACTGCAGTTTTAAGCAGGATATACTCAGCAATGCTGTCGACTTATGAACTTACACACGGTGTGTCTTAAAGCGTATTAACAACACCACATACACACATAAACAACATTAAAAGCTGGATTTACACCACAGGGGGACTTTAAAAACCCTGTAATGACTTTTATAGTTATTATATTGCATTATTTACACTCACCGGCCACTTTATTAGGTACCCCATGCTAGTAACGGGTTGGACCCCCTTTTGCCTTCAGAACTGCCTCAATTCTTCGTGGCATAGATTCAACAAGGTGCTGGAAGCATTCCTCAGGGAGTTTGGTCCATATTGACATGATGGCATCACACAGTTGCCGCAGATTTGTCGGCTGCACATCCATGATGCGAATCTCCCGTTCCACCACATCCCAAAGATGCTCTATTGGGTTGAGATCTGGTGACTGTGGAGGCCATTTTAGTACAGTGAACTCATTGTCATGTTCAAGAAACCAATTTGAAATGATTAGAGCTTTGTGACATGGTGGAAGTAGCCATCAGAGGATGGGTACATGGTGGCCATAAAGGGATGGACATGGTCAGAAACAATGCTCAGGTAGGCCGTGGCATTTAAACGATGCCCAATTGGCACTAAGGGGCCTAAAGTGTGCCAGGAAAACATCCCCCACACCATTACACCACCACCACCAGCCTGCACAGTGGTAACAAGGCATGATGGTTCCATGTTCTCATTCTGTTTACGCCAAATTCTGACTCTACCATCTGAATGTCTCAACAGAAATCGAGACTCATCAGACCAGGCAACATTTTTCCAGTCTTCAACTGTTCAATTTTGGTGAGCTCTTGCAAATTGTAGCCTTTTTCCTATTTGTAGTGGAGATGAGTGGTACCCGGTGGGGTCTTCTGCTGTTGTAGCCCATCCGCCTCAAGGTTGTGCGTGTTGTGGCTTCACAAATGCTTTGCTGCATACCTCGGTTGTAACGAGTGGTTATTTCAGTCACTGTTGCCCTTCTATCAGCTCGAACCAGTCTGGCCATTCTCCTCTGACCTCTGGCATCAACAAGGCATTTCAGCCCACAGAACTGCCGCTCACTGGATGTTTTTTCTTTTTCGGACCATTCTCTGTAAACCCTAGAGATGGTTGTGCGTGAAAATCCCAGTAGATTAGCAGTTTCTGAAATACTCAGACCAGCCCTTCTGGCACCAACAATCATGCCACGTTCAAAGTCACTCAAATCAACTTTCTTCCCCATACTGATGCTCGGTTTGAACTGCAGGAGATTGTCTTGACCATGTCTACATGCCTAAATGCACTGAGTTGCCGCCATGTGATTGGCTGCTTAGAAATTAAGTGTTAACGAGCAGTTGGACAGGTGTACCTAATAAAGTGGCCGGTGAGTGTATATATACATATAGCATATTTTCCAGGCTTTGCTTTGGAAATATTGTATTATTTACAGCCATGCCAATAAATCTCTTTAATTTTGAATTGACAACTGAACACAACACACACACAATAAAACACAGCTCACACATTATTATTGATTCTACACCATCTGTTGTGACACATGGAATCAGATGTTTGCATCATTCTGACATTCATCTAAGATGTGTGTGTTTGTATTTAATGTTGTGCAGGAATACAGAATCTGATCATATGTGTAAAAATACTGTAGCACTTTGTATACCGGTAATAGCCTACATTAATATAAAACTGCCTAATAGCGTGTTAAACTAAAGCAAACAGCAGAAAATGTACAAATTAATATCTATGAAGACTTTATTCTATGAAGTGCTTTCTGATTTTATTAAAATGTTGTGTATTTAAAGGTGCAGTCTATAAGAATGACGGCTAGTGGTGGAAATAGGTACTGCAGTCCAAATTCAAAATACCAGTAAGTGGATGAGTTGATTTATCCGCGTTTTAATATGCTCTCGTTCATAGAGATTTTTAGATGAATACTTTTTAGGTTGGGTAGAATCTGCGATCTCTGACCCAGTTTGTTTGCTGGCTGCAATACGCTGTGTTTTCTATTGGCGAAATACTATTGGCTGAACTGGCAGTGGGCGGAGTCACACAGACCAAAACAAGAACAGACAGACAACATGAAATGTGTAAAATAATAAGTAAAATAACTGGCTGTAGAAGTGTTTTTAAGTATATGAAATTAGCCTGTTTCCTAAATATCTGCAAACATATTATGGTATTTCATGCTTTAGTAGAGTGAAAAAACTACATCCAACACCTTTAAAGCACATTTTCTGATCCAAGCGCTCCGATCAGACTTTACAGAACAGAACGGCAGTAACCAGAGCAAATCCCGTGAGCAGGAACGTGACTTTATGGATGCGATGCTTCGGAGAGGCCGATTCCTGCCACAGGAGTCCAGCGATGGAGACGTAGATGAAGATCCCAGACGCCAGACCCTCGACGGCACATCGGACCAGCTGAACCGTAGCGCTGGGATTCATCCCGACCATTCCCATTCCCATCCTGATCCCGATTCCCACCGGACAGGAGAGGGAGAACAGAATGAGGCATCCGGACGCCACGGCCTGACGGAGACCGTAGTGGCTCATCCGTACGGAGAGACTGAACGCCATGATTGCCTGCCGGAGAAACAGCGTCACACCAATCTGCAGGATTAGTTCGGGATCCAGCTGGGATCCGGCGCTCAGACCCTCGACCAGAGCACACACACACAGGCAGAACACCAGGAGAAGCACACGCAGACCCACGTGCTCCGGAGAAGCGGATCCGTCGGTCCCGGAGAGACGATGGGAATGACCAGGAGAATCCCGACTCTGGGCCATGTGAGGGTCTATGAGCAACTGTTTCTCGAGGGATTCGTCGGTCCAGGATCGGCCGGGAGAATCCCGACTCTGGGTCATGTGAGGGTCTATGAGCGCCTGTTTCTCGAGGGATTCGTCGGCCCCGGAGAGATGATGGGAACGCCCGGGAGAATCCCGACTCTTGGTTACGTGAGGGTCTATGAGCGCCTTTTTCTCGAGGGATTCGTAGCTCGTCGGATCTCGGAACGCCAGCAACATCTGCTCCGACACGAACACCAGAAGGAATCCCATGGACACGATGAACTCGGCCAGCGGGAAATGAAGCTGCAAAGACAGAGACTCTCATTAATCACATGTTTAACATCGGAGAACGTCCTGCATTAGTGGTAATAGAGAACAAAGGTTTACAAATTAAACCCTCAACATGGATTTTTATTATCTATTGTGACATCATGAGAGGGCGTGTGTCCTAGAGGGCATTGCCCCCAGATGGCTGGAGCAAGATGGCCGCCGGTTAAGGACTACAAAACCCAGGCTGCCTGAGAGTACAGCATCAGCTAATGAGACCGGCAGCAGGCTCTAAGAGTGTGTGTGAGAAACTGTTGAAGGTGTGTGTGGCTGGGGACATGTACCTCTGTGAAACAAAGAAGATTGAGTTGTTTTGAGCTGAAGAGATTTAAGTTGTAAAACTTTTTGTTTGATTATTAACCCTTGTTTTTGGGGGTCCTTGAGATGTTTTGACATGCCCTGACATTTGTGTTTCTTTCAGTTGCTTATAAACATATTAATGGCAAAGGTATTATTACACTCTATTCAGCACAAACAGGGCTACCATAATATGTGAGCAACATGTATGTATATGTTTGTATTTTTTAGAGAATAATGTTTATGCATGGTTATTGAAAAAACAAAAAAAAATAAAGTTTCTGAAATAAGGCCACAAAACACATACTAAATATGTGTCCACAAGACTTTTGACTAATGGGTGTTTTTGCCTAGATTTCTGGCTTCAAAGTGATGTGAAAATCATCCTGCCTATTTATTCACATAAAACAATACATTTATTTAAATTTTGTAGGACACTTTTTGTTTAGAAAGGTAATATGCGTGGGGGCGTGAATGTATCTAAACTAGTGGTTCCTCTAGAAACATTTTCCTGGTTGCATTCGCACCGCCAGTAGGAACTCTGAAGTGACGTAAGCCGCGCTTGTTGTCGGGACTTTTATTTTGACGGTGCTGAGAATACTGTACACTCACCAGTACTATTTGTAAACACACTAAGTCACATACTTTGATTAATTAATAATAATAATTAATGACTGACCGCGAGGCCGAGCCGGCTGAAGGTTTCTCTGGCGTGGGTCAGATAATCGGGCAGCAGATCCAGCAAACATGAGCAAAGAAACACACCGTCAGACAAACATGAGGCCAGACTCATGACTCCAAGCCGCACACCTGAGTGACACACAGAGAGGATCATGGGACACCGACACACAGAGAGGATCATGGGACTCCAACACAAGAGCTTTAGCTTTACTTCATGACAGTTAATAACTTTCTGTAGACAAAAAATCTCATTACTCATGTTAGCTGTTAGCAAAAAAAGTATATTATTTAAAATTGTAATTAGTGTACATCAAGGTATTACTTGCTATACAGAATTAATTGTATGTTGATGGACCCCATTGACTTTTCGCGATTAATCGCGTCCAAAATAAAAGTTTGTGTTTACATAATACACACTCACCTAAAGGATTATTAGGAACACCATACTAATACTGTGTTTGACCCCCTTTTGCCTTCAGAACTGCCTTAATTCTACGTGGCATTGATTCAACAAGGTGCTGAAAGCATTCTTTAGAAATGTTGGCCCATATTGATAGGATAGCATCTTGCAGTTGATGGAGATTTGTGGGATGCACATCCAGGGCACGAAGCTCCCGTTCCACCACATCCCAAAGATGCTCTATTGGGTTGAGATCTGGTGACTGTGGGGGCCATTTTAGTACAGTGAACTCATTGTCATGTTCAAGAAACCAATTTGAAATGATTCAGGCTTTGTGACATGGTGCATTATCCTGCTGGAAGTAGCCATCAGAGGATGGGTACATGGTGGCCATAAAGGGATGGACATGGTCAGAAACAATGCTCAGGTAGGCCGTGGCATTTAAACGATGCCCAATTGACACTAAGGGGCCTAAAGTGTGCCAAGAAAACATCCCCCACACCATTACACCACCACCACTAGCCTGCACAGTGGTAACAAGGCATGATGGATCCATGTTCTCATTCTGTTTACGCCAAATTCTGACTCTAGCATCTGAATGTCTCAACAGAAATCGAGACTCATCAGACCAGGCAACATTTTTCCAGTCTTCAACTGTCCATTTTTGGTGAGCTCTTGCAAATTGTAGCCTCTTTTTCCTATTTGTAGTGGAGATGAGTGGTACCCGGTGGGGTCTTCTGCTGTTGTAGCCCATCCGCCTCAAGGTTGTGCGTGTTGTGGCTTCACAAATGCTTTGCTGCATACCTCGGTTGTAACGAGTGGTTATTTCAGTCAAAGTTGCTCTTCTATCAGCTCGAACCAGTCTGGCCATTCTCCTCTGACCTCTGGCATCAACAAGGCATTTTCGCCCACAGGACTGCCGCATACTGGATGTTTTTCCCTTTTCACACCATTCTTTGTAAACCCTAGAAATGGTTGTGCGTGAAAATCCCAGTAACTGAGCAGATTGTGAAATACTCAGACCGGCCCATCTGGCACCAACAACCATGCCACACTCAAAATTGCTTAAATCACCTTTCTTTCCCATTCTGACATTCAGTTTGGAGTTCAGGAGATTGTCTTGACCAGGACCACACCCCTAAATGCATTGAAGCAACTGCCATGTGATTGGTTGGTTAGATAATTGCATTAATGAGAAATTGAACAGGTGTTCCTAATAATCCTTTAGGTGAGTGTATGTGTGTGTACTGTGTGTAATTATTTTGTGTATATATAAATACACACACATGCATGTATATATTTAAGATTTTTTTATTTATTTATATATAAAATATTTCTATTTAATATTATATATATTTAATATATATAATATGAATTATTTATACAGTATATATATGCATATGTGAGTATTGTAACGATTAATCGTTGCCCAGCACTAACATGGGCAAATATATACTATAATAATGAATAATTATAATGTATAATTAATTATCAATTATTATTTTAAACAGTTAAAGGGATAGTTCACCCAAAAATGAACATTAGCCCATGATTTACTCTCCCTCAAGCCATCCTAGTGTATATGACACTCTTCTGTCAGACGAACACAATCTGAGTTAAACATGTCCTGACTCTTCCAAGCTTATAATGGGATCCAGTGGGTGTATGTCTTTAGAAGTCCATCAAAGCTCATCCATTCATGATTAAAGTGCATCTGTCCATCATAAAAGTGGATCTGTCCATCATAAAAGTGGATCTGTCCATCATAAAAGTGGATCTATCCATCATAAAAGTGGATCTATCCATCAAAGGCCTTCTGAAGCGAAGCGTTCGTGTAAAAAAAATATCCATATTTAAAACTTTATCGATCAATAACTAGCTTCCGGCAGACGTCCGTACGCATCGGTTTTCAAAGAGCAACACTAGAGCTTGACGCACGACGTAATGACGAACGCGTCGCTCAGCCCTGTGTGTTCGAACCGCGAGAGGCGTCGATTTCCGCCATTACGCCGTGCGTGTTAATCCTTCACTGTAGATCGATGCGTACGGCCGTCTGCCGGAAGCTAGTTATTTTAGTCGATGAAGTTTTAAATATGGATATTTTTCTTACACGAACGCTTCGCTTCAGAAGGCCTTTATTAACCCCCCGGATGACAGATGCACTTTTATCCTGAATGGATGCACTTTGATGGACTTCCAAATACACCCACTGGATCCCATTATAAAGCTTGGAAGAGCCAGGACATTTTTTATATAACTTATATAGGAATGTCATATACACCCGTCCTAGGATGACTTCAGGGTGAGTAAATCATGGGCTAATGTTCATCTTTGGGTGAGCTATCTCTTTAAGCGATGTGTCTGAACAGGACTGATTGAGCTGATGGTGTAGAGATACTCCTGATGTTCACCTGCCACTCGTCTGATCACACACACCGGGCCGAAGCCACACAGGAGACTGAAGCACAGCATCAGAGTCAACATCGCCGGCTCGATCTGGAGCCCGCAGCCTGGGGGGGGGGGACATGTGTAAAATTGTTTTACACATGTTCCTACTTTTCACAGTATAATGTGGTTCTTTATACACACACACATATATATACATAGGTGCCATTTACATTTCAGGATGAGGGTGATATCATATTATGATAAACTGAGATTTGCATTTTGCAAAAAAAAAAAATATATATTTACAAATGTGTTTTATGTCACAAACACAACTCTGCCTGGCATTTATTTGTGAAGCACTTCTTGTGCATTTGTAAATCCCTGCATGCATCTGTGGGTTTAAACGCTTCTAAAAAAAGCCCACAAATAAGTGACTCCACCCACCGTCTACTCAAAAAATACATCTTTGCATTATTTTGGATGCTGTAAGTAACTTTTACAAAAAACTATTAAGTCTGAATCATATTCATTATTCATTCGCTTTTCTGTAATTTCAGGGCAAGACCGCCCAGAGTGTAAAGCCCTACCGTGATTGGTTGTAGTAGCGAAAACGTGCTACGATTGGTCAGCTCAATGTGTCCGTTATCTGATTGGCTTGAGGAAACGGTGGGTGGAGTCACTTATTTTCCTTAAACCCACAGATGCGAGAGGGGATTTACAAATGCACAGAAAGTGGTTCACAAATAAATGCCAGGCAGAGTTGTGTTTGTGACATAAAACACATTTGTAAATATATTTTTTTATTTG